TCTCCTGGACTGTACGGGGCCCAGGATCAGTTTTTAAAAGGTTTTAGCAGGAAGTAATTTCATCATATTTTGACCCCAAAGTTGTTCCCAAATCTGTGGAGTTTTAACCCTTCAGAACAGAGTAGTTCCTAGAGGTTTCTTGGAGACTACAGGAGTCACCCTTTCAGGGAGGAAACTAAGACTGTAAGAACCTAAGCATTAAAATCAGCTGCTGCATCAGAGGAATGGAGAGGTTTGGGGCTTATATTTACAAGTGCTAGCAGTGAACCTGAGAATTACAGCTCTGTGAGCCTTGCCACAGCACTAAACAGATTAGTTGAAACAGGAATTACAGAGTCGTTCCTAGAGGTTTCTCGGGGACTACAGGAGTCATTACCCCAGTGGCCGGAATTCCAGGCCCTTTAAATCACCCCCGAAGTGCCACACCACATGCTCCCGATAGCTTTGAGGGCGGAGGAAGGGGTGGCAGGCCACGCTCTGGGAGGTGCAGAGGCTTGGCTGCCCCTGGCCCTGCCTCTTCTGCCTGATGCCCAGCCCCTTCTGGGAGTGCAGAGCCACCACCCCCTTCCCCGTTCCCACCATGCCCACCAGAAGAGACAGAAAACCCACCCTGCCCAGGGATCTGTGGAGGCTGTTGGCTCTCCTGTGTAGATATAAAATGCTTACAATAACATGGTAAAAGTAGCACAGTTTCTGTGACCTCATAGCACATAAGTGGACCATTTATGATCATCTAATCTGACTCCTTGCATAACACAGGCCATAGAATTTCACTCAGTAATTGCTGCAACATACCCGCAACTCCTATTCAGGCTCAAGCATATATTTTCTAAAATCAAAACTTAAAAAACAACCGGTAGTCTAGTAGCACTTTAAAGACTAACAAAACATGTAGATGATATCATGAGGTTTCATGGGCAAAACTAGTGCTACTAGACTATTTGTTTTTTAACTTTTTCCTGTTACAGGCTAACTCAGCTACCCCTTCTGAAGTTTCTAAAGTCATTTAGTCTTCATTTCATGATGTCAAGTGATGTAGAATCCACCAAATCCTTACATAAGTTGTTCCAATAGGTAATTGCCTAATTGTTAAAAATTTGGACCACATTTCTAATCTAAATTAGTCAAGATTCAGTTTTAGCCACTGGAACTTTTATTATTTACTACTAAATTAAAGAGAGCTCTACTATGTAGGTACTTATAGACTGCAATCAAGTCACCTTCAAACCTGCTCTAGTATAAACTAAATATTTCTTTAATCTTTACCCCAGTCCTTCCCAGAGATCAGATCATTCTGATAGTGCTCTTCTGAACCCTTCCAAATTTCTTAACTTTCTTTTTAAAGTGTGGACATCAGAACTGGATACACCATGGTCCAACTAATGCCTTGTAAAGTGATAATGACACTTCTCTATTTCTAAGCAATATTCTCATGTTTACAATAAACAACCATCCCTCCGCTTACACATGTAAAGTAAAGTTGCACCCCTCTTGTTTACTGGGAGTTCTCTGAGTCAGTAGAATAGTGGAGAAAGAATTCCACCTACTAATTCTTCTAGTTATAATTTAATGAAGTCTCTCACAAGGGGTAATTTAGGAAACGATGCAACTACTGGATGCGAGAATTTACTACTATAGATTAGAAAATGGTTAAGAATTAGAAAACAAAGAGTATGGCTGTAAAGTAATTTATAAAATGGAATGATATTCACAGAGAGATGCTCCAAGGATCCGTACTGGGATTGGGGATATTTACTGTGCTCACCAGTTTTTGGAAAGCATGGGTGTAAGGTCTTGTCTACACTAATCCCTGCTGTCGATCTAATCTATGTGACTTCAGCTATGCAAATAGGGTTGCCAGATGGTTTAAAAAAATACCAACCCCCTCTACCCCAAAAAAACCAGGAAAAAAATCTGTTGAGCTAAAAAAAAAAAGGCTATGTAAATGTGTTGAGCAAAAAAAAAAAGGGACTGACCAGGGCTGAAACACAGTCATAGCCCCTTTAATTTCCAGTCTGCTCCACCCTCCCCCTGCCCTGGCCAGCCTGAGCTGACTCAACCACCCTTCCGTCCGATGCCCGAACTGGGAAAAACATGTCTGGTATTTTCTGAAGTTTTTTACCAGACAGAAGGTGCAAATACTAGGCTGTCCGGTTCAATACTGGACACCTGGCAACTCTTTATGCAAACAGTGTAGCTGAAGTCAACATACTTACCACAGCATCTTCTGTGTGATAAGGTCATTGGGAGTTGCTCTTCCATTGACTTCGGCTACTCTACTCATCCTGATGGAGTATCAGAGTTGATGGGAGAACACTCAGATTGATTTATCGCATCTAAGCAGATGTGATAAATCAATGGCCAGTGGATTAATCACTGCAGCGTTGATCCACCACGTCGTAGAGACAAGCCCTAAGCGGAGGAAGTAGGAAGGGAGAAATAGTGAGACGGCAACATCTGATCATCAATTGTTCTGGAAAGGCAAGACTAGAAAATCTTAAAAGGGGAACGGAGCAACAAGATGGCAGTTGAAATGTAGCATAGGTATGCGTGAGGTAATGCATATTGGGAGGAACAATTTGAACTACTTATATACACTGATGGTTTCTAAATTAACCACTCATGAAAAAGACTTTGGCATTACTGTGGACAGCTCAATGGAAACTTCTGCTCAGTGCACAGCAGTGGTCAAAAAAAGCAAATCAGATGTTAGACTGTTTTAAAAACTGGATAGAGAACAATACTGAAAATAGTAGACCACATTAAAATAAATCAATAGGACCTGCTCCTTTTAAAAAAAAGTTAGTTCAATTCTGGTCACATTATCTAGGTATGAAAAATATACAGGCAGTCCCTGGGTTACATGGATCCAACTTACATCGGATCCCTACTTACAAACGGGGTGAGGCAACCCCGCACTAGCTGCTTCCCCCCAGCAGAGCAGGGAGACGCGAAGCTAGCGCCCCCCTCCCGAATAAAGGCCTGAGGGAAGTGAGGTGTGGGAGAATAAAACTGAGCTCTGGAGAAATGTTTGGCTAGAGTTTCCCCTACAATATGTACCAGTTCCGACTTACATACAAATTCAACTTAAGAACAAACCTACAGTCCCTATCTTGTACGTAACCTGGGGACTGCCTGTACAGCAGAAATAGGAATGGCCTGGGAAAGGGCAATGAAAATTATTACACGCATGAACAAACTTCTGTAAAGGGCCAGGTTTTTAAAGGATACCAAATCTGAGGCATTCAAAAGTAAGACTGCTTTTGTAAATATGGCCCATAACCTCCTGACACTTCTATTTACCAATTTTTAAAATGGGGTTAGTGATACTTACTTGTTTTTGTGACACACTTTGAGATTTATGGATGAAAAGTTATATAAATTATCATTATTATAAATAACTATTATTAATGACAAGTTAGAAAACCTGAAAGTAAAGACCATTTTGCATGGGAAAAAAATTAAAAGCCCGAGGCTTCAGTTTGTGTCTTAGTACAGAGCCTTATGTTAATTTTAGGTATTAATTCAGGTAGTCAGCTTCTAAGTTAATGACCACACATGCCTCGTTGAAAAATTGACCCGTGGCTTCTAGCCAGCAATATCCTCCCACCTCCTTGGTTGCTGTAGTAGATATACTTGCTATAAATAGCTGTCAGATTTGTAAACTGAACAGTGTTTAGTCTAAGTGAGGAAAGCGGGAACTGCATCTGTCCGGCAATGGAGTGGGTGTGGTTTGAGACAGCGTTGTTTTCTGCTGAGGATTTTTGTTTTTATTACCAAACCCTGCTATGCGTGGAGGATGTCACAAAGTCCTTCTGTCCCCCTTCTCCCCAGGCAATGAAACTGGAAGGGGAAAAAATGAATCAACGCAGTTTTATATAACTTACCAATATGTTTAGCATTTTCTGTACAGAGGGGAGCCAGTCAGAATGTGTAATTGTTTCTATAGAGAACTTAATTTTATTAATCCGAGGTTTGCTATGTTCTAGGCTTGTCCAGATCAGGGACAGACTGTGTCCTTGCCACATGACTCATACATCCTAAGCCCAATAAAATGTATAAAAAAATTGAAGTTATTCAGTGAAATGGCATTATTGTCCCCTTATAGAGAAGCATATGGGATAGTGGTTTGAGTATAGGACTGAGAGCCAGGAATGACTTAATTCTCGTTCAGACACACTCAAGCTGTCTGTGGTCTTAAGTCATTCGGGGATAGATTTTGACTAGTTTAATGGGACTGTGTCGGGGAGGAGGGTTGAGAAAAGGCCCTCTCCATGCAGCTGCTTCACGGTTCACTGGATTGTGTCTGGAACACAAGGAGAAGAGGAAAGCGCTATGTCTGAGTCTACCCCAAGCAATTGGGCGGGAAGAGGGAGACATAGTTGGCACAAGAGGGTAGTAAGGTGCACCTTCAAGAAGGGTGAAATATCTTGCTGGCCCATCTACTCAGAGCCAGAAGAGAGTAATACAGGAATTCAGTCCTACATACCTCTCCTTACTCGGGGGTCTGAGCAGACAGGTCCTTTGTCTTGCTTTTCCCTTGGTAGTTATGATGAGGATTGACTGGTTAATAACTGTAAAGTGCTCTGAAAATGAAAAGCCCGAAGTATTATCTCGGGGGGAGAGGGGGATAGATAAGTTTTTCTCACACAAAAGCATGTCTGAATAAAAACTAGCTGACTGCATAACCATTAAAATAGCAGGGGAATTTGCAATCCTCTCAAATCAAGCCACCCTCTCAGTAAGGCTACGATAACAGTGGCATTTGCACCTCCTTTATAATGATCGGTTCCACACAGAGGGAAGTCTCAGCTCCCTTTATTTGCTTTAGGTTGATGTCCCCCTCCCCTTGAGCCAAACTCTGCTATCAACTATACAGACTTTATTTCCCAAAGAACAGCCCCCTGAAGGCCTTTCAGACCTTATGAAAGGAGTTTTCACTCAAGTTAAAAGAGAACTGTGTGTTCTCTTGCTGTTTCTCTCTCTGTATGTGTGCTTTGTAAAAAGAGTTATAAATTAATCATTTCAACTTTGGGCAAGGAGTCTAGGTGTTGTATTTGTAGCCTGCACTTACATAAACACAGCAAGGGACAGTTAACTAATGAGTGGCTGGAGTGAGAAATGGAAGCTCTAAGACTATCTAAAACATTTAAACATATTTTCCACATAGGAGACCATGCGGTTGTTGCCTTTGCTTTCTTACAACAGAGACAAGTCAGTAAAAGTCCAAAGGAAAGACTGAGGTTTTACATTTCTGTTTGTGGTACAGGAAAAGGGTTACGATCTCAGTGGTTGATTCAGTGAAATAACATCTCCTTTATACACATCTGCCTAGCAAGTAGGGCGGTATTTGGAAATACCCAGGCTATAGCATTAAAGATTTGCTGGCAAATAGCAAAGGGATTTTCTGCCGAGGAAAAATTGTTATATTGAGTAGTCACTTTGCATGCTTAGGAGTTAACAGACAAATACCAAACAGCCTGGACTTACAGGGTATTTTTTATTTTGTAAAGTACTTAACATACTGTGAAGTGGCTCAGCTGCATTTTTTACATCCAAGATGTGACAGCAATGATTCTAAACAAGAAGATACAGTTGTTATTTGACTATGGTAAGTAATATCTTTATACCAAACTTTTTGGATCTCACTAATGTTCATTCTGAAGATGCAAATATGTTTCATTTACAAAGTGTTTTTCTTTGACAATTTAGATGAGAAAAGTAAATAGATAAAATGTAAAACCAGGGCAATTCTTCCTATATGAATTCTGTGCTTTTGCTTTTCCATTCTGTAATGCATATCTCATTTTACAGTGATAAGAGGGAGTTGGAATGAAATAGATGCTTATCTTTGGTTGTTGTTTGATAAATAGTCTCATGATAAAAGGGGAACATGTATATTTAGCCAGTCAGTACCTGGAAATAGGATGTTCTTACTTTGTTGGACAATATTTTCCCAGGAAAGCACATTTAAAAGTGTTACAAGCATGAAGGGACTTTCTGGCAAAGGAATCTTTCCTTAGCTGTAAAGGCCTCTTCAAGCCTATAACACTATGAGAAATACAGTAGAAACTAAACACAAAATACATCATCCACTATGCAAACAGATTTGAAAATCTATAAATTAGCCTTCTAACTAGTAATTAACCTTATTGAGGAGGATTTAGAGGAAAGATTTTTGGGAGCAGTTCTGCTAAGCTTTTGTTAAGACTCAGTGTCTTTTCCTGAGTAATTTCCGAGCCTTATTTCATGTCAACTGAGCTCTCTAGTCTACATTTTAAAATATTTTATTTTCCTTTATAGAAACTGTGCTGAAAAACACAAGCACATTTTAGCTTCTTAGAGAACAGGACAGAATTAGTATCTAATTATATCTAACCAAGCACATATGTGCAACCCCTTTTAAAATTACATTTTAATGTGATTACCTTTCACACTTTCAGAGAATACTTCCAAGCCAGCAGAGTGCAAATACACCAGCTCCCTGAGTCAGAGAGCAACGTTATCTTAGGCAGGAAATCAGTACATTGGTCCAGAAACTCAGCCTCAAATGGAAGGCATATTTGTTTAGCCATATGCTATAAGTATAATCCCTAGAACTGGAATCTTGCCAATATTATTAATGCAGAGTTCACTTGATAGTTCCATTTATTATGAGTCTTATTAGTACCCTCTTTATACAGCATAACTTTAAAGCATACCAAATAGTATATTAACTATATACTGCCAGTGGAGTGTGGCTGTAGAACTGGTATATCCAGTGCCATGATCACTCCAGTGTAAAGCAAACCTTCTGGTAATAGAAACAAAATACAGGACTTCTGGTAATACAAACTCAATGTAGAGGCTCCTCTGATACCTCTCCCTGCTGCTAGTGAAGGGGTGGTGGCTTTTGGAAAAGGGGGAGGGACAAATTATCCGCACCAATCCCTGGCTGGTGCTTTTGCTTTGTGGGGCTGTTAGCACCCAACACAGGTTGGAGCAGCTGCTCTAGTTTATGTGCAGTGCTGACCTCACATACCAGGGTTACTTTACACCAACTTTGCACCTCTAACCTCACCTCTAGCCAGGGATCTGAACCACTTTTTTACCCCTGCAGCATTTTGTATTGTTCTAGCCCATACATACATGATAGTATTAGATGCTCTGCATTTTTTGGAGTGATGACCTGTGAATTTACACCTAACAAGAAGATATTTTTAGAATATGGATGGTAATATTGGGTGGTCACTTAGTATCAAGTTGTCAAAATGGGCCTCTGCTTTGAATGTCCAGCTTAACAGAACATGATTTTTTCAGAGATGCCAAGCATCTAGAACTCCATTTGACTTCCTCTGAAGATGGGGGAGCTCCCTAACTCAGACCCAAGCCATCTCAAAGTAAACGCCCAAAAAATAGGCATCCCAATTTAGAGGACACTTTTTAAAGTTTGGCCTTAAACTCTCTATGCTACCGATCTTGTTGGTAAAATAACCTGAGATCCTCAGATGGAAGATGCAGCAGAAATACATGGTATTATTTCATTTTCAATGTTTAAAATGAAGTCACTATAGCAACACAAAAAGAATAAAATATTTTCCGTGTAGCCTCACTCTGTAAAGAAAGCATAATGATACCACTTTCCACTCTCCATGCACAGTGTGATGGGCTCTCTTCTGTGCCCCAAAATTTATGCCCAGGATCTATGGGACCAATGGGGGAAAAAATTCCTATAGTCAAGAATCCTTAACTCAGAACTTCTTGCCAATACCTTTGCTATACTTAACTCTCAGTACTGCTAGCACAGCTGATCTCAAAATGTCATGGTGGGGCAAGGGAGAGAGCCAGTCACTTGGAGGCTGGGACAATTGCATCCCTATAGGAAGCCAATAGAGTCTCAGGAGCACTGTTGTAATGCATCCTCTAGAGCCAACACTACCACTCAGCAGTTACAACATGACATTCTGCACCTTATTATGCAGTTGCTTATTTGACACCTGTTGATGTTAGAGATTGAATCAGTTAGGTGGTAAGAACATCAGCCACTGAAGTCTTCGACACCACAAATAAAAATCACACACTCTGAGTCGCTTTATGGCTGTCATGGTATTAGAGAGCAAGGAAAGAAATGTAAATGTGAAGAGGTACAGAAAGAGCAGCTGAGTTAAATAATTTTACCTTTGCCAAGTGCACAGAATGTCAGACTCAGAACGTGGCTGCTACTAAATCCTTGCAGCTGAAATAACAACTGCTCCCCCAGATGCAGCAAATTCATCTTACCTAATCACAGACACTTAAGGGACAGGGGATTGCATAATTCCTCACCAAAGGGAGGAAATAATCAACAATGCTAATTAAAAAAAATCCTCCAATCAAAATACAGTAGAATATAGTACCTGTAGTTAGGTCTGACCCAAAGCTCCTTGAAGCTAATGGAAATCTTCCCCTGATATCAGTGAGCTCTGAAGCAGGACGGATTCCAGAACCCTCACTCAAGTGGAATAGTTTTTCACTTCTTCAGTTCTCCCATATGTTCCAGTGGGGTTACCTTAAAAGTAAGGGACTAACTTGACATCTGCAAATGAACTAAAATCCAGCCCGGAACCTACATTAAATGTAAAAATAGCTCACTTTAAATGCAACTTTTATATGGAAGCCTCAAAAAAGACTGAGGCCATTTTCATGTGATTTTGCAGATAAAGAAAGTTCATTTTTCTTTCACATTATAATTTTTCCTGGTAAATTATATGTGCTGGCAATTGATAATCCCCCTTTCATTCCAACTAAAGGGCCCTTTATTATGGCATGCCATTCAGGGGCGTATAAATCAAAATGAAAGCAAGTCAGATGAAAAAGCAACATTATGGTACTGGAAATGTGCAATAAAGAGGTAAAGTCATTTTAAAAAAATCACCAAACAGGAGAGGCCACATAAATTAGTACCTTTCTGGAGCAGCAGTAATTTATATACTCTCTGATGCTAACCAAACACTTGTAAAACAGCTAGACACAATATTCAGCACCCAATTATTCACTAGTGTCTCGAACTGTGTTATGGAGAGGTCAGACCAGATAATCACAATGGCACTTTTCCGGCTTTGGGACCAATGAATCTGAACGAAATGATCGATTTAGAGTGATTGCAAGCACTAAGCCATGCCAGCATTCTTTAGTCCAGCTCCAGACTATTCCAACTCTTACCCATGATCTAGAAATAAATACAAATAATCCTTTAAAAAACACCTCTTACTGTGTTAAAAGAAGAACATTCCTGCCATGCCCAACATGCCCACAGACATACTGGGGCCCCTGCTCAGTCAATGCTCTGCAAACAGTTACTGTTGTGTTTCTCAGTCACATGCATGGCTAATGCATCATTCATTTTGTTTATAGTTGTCCCCACGTGCTATTTTTACCAACACAATTAACCCATTTGCACAGGGCTGCATAATGGGACTGAGAGGTGAGGCAGAAGTACTCTGAATTGGATTCGCTTTTTTGATAGCAGCAATCTTCTGAAGTGGAAATATTATGCTCCATAAAAAACAGTGTAATATCACTAGCTCACAGACATTTACCTCCCCTCCTCATCCCCCTTCTGTTCTGAAATTTGATTTGTCCTTTTCATATGTGTTCATTTTTTTTATTGTATCCTTTGGTATATATGGTTGTGCCAATTTTCTTCCACTATTTGATCTGAGGAAGTGGGTCTGGCCCACGAAAGCTCATCACCTAATAAACCATCTTGTTAGTCTTTAAAGTGCTACATAGTCCTGTTTTTTGCTTCAGCTACACCAGACTAACACGGCTACATTTCTATCAGTGTTGTAAATAGTCCATCTAAAGCACAAGCAACAATGTCCATCAAAGAAAGACCTCTCTATCAGATAAAGCATTGAAAATGTACCCGGTGTATTGCACCGACACCCCAAAAGACAAGGTCCATACTCTAAGGCAGTGTCTGCATTGGCACCCTTTTCCGGAAAAGGGATGCTAATGAGACCAGTTGGAATTGCAAATGCCGCGGGGGATTTAAATATCCCCCGCGGCATTTGCATGAACATGGCTGCCGCTTTTTTCCAGCTCGGGGCTTTGCCGGAGAAAAGTGCCAGTCTAGATGGGATCTTGCGGAAAATAAACCCTTTTCCGGAAGATCCCTTATTCCTACTTAAAATCAGGCACATCATTGCACGCGCGTTCTTGTGCAAGTAAATGTACAGTATAGCATCAGAAAACAGGGCTTCTTCCAGAAGAGTTATTCCTCTCCCCACGAGGAATAAACCCTCTTGTGCAAGAGCTCTTCCACAAGAGGGCAGTGTAGACAGGCAACATGAATTTCTTCCGCAAGAAGCCCCCATGGTTAAAATGGCCATCAGAGCTTTCTTGTGGAAGAGAGCATCCGTACTTCCATGAATGCTTTTGCGCAAAAGCACATGGCAGTGTGGACGCGCTCTTGTGGAAGATTTTTTGCACAAGAACTCTTCCGCAAAACAGTTCTTGCACAAGAAGCCTGCAGTGTAGACGTAGCTCAAGTTGTCAACACTGAACAACAGTTCAGTGACAAGAAGGCCTGAATGCAACTGATAAGGCTCAAGGTTGATGTTTCCCCTAATCTTTCCCATCTATGTGCAGATTTTTTCCATCCATGTGCAGAATAATTTTTTTCTGTGTGCACAGAGGCATGTGCGCATGTGCAGCACTGTTAGGAACAAAACCATTATGGGCAGTCTGCTAATCAGCTGGGCGGAATTTGAATCTCTCCTGAAAGGTCGCATAAGCACTCAGCTTATCAGGAACACTGCGCAAAGTCATAAGGTTTCACAAAACAAGTGGGCTTCAAAGATGTGAAGAAGAGGGAGGGAGCTTCAACCACACATGATAGCCTGGTAGAAAGCGTGAAGGTCAAAGTAAGAGGAGGCAGAAGGAGAAAAGTAAGGGGCAAGGGTGATGTGAATACCAAGGTAAACAGAAGCAGAATTCCACAAAGGCTTGGAGGTGAAGACAATACCTTTGACAATACAAGAACTGAATGAGCCTGAAAGGCAGAGAATTTAAAATGGTGACAGGGAAATACATTTCTACACAATACATAATTACCTCGTAGAACTCATTGTCACTGGATCTCACTGATGTCACGACCATAGAAGGATTCACAAAAGGGAAAATAATAGCTCTAGTGCACCGGATTGTTTGGAGGAGATAGCACTCCTCACGCTTCACTGCATAAGCAAACCACTGTGACAAGAATTAGGGAGGAATTTACCTGATAGGCAGACTGTACTATAATTGTGCGTTGATGGGGGGTTTGCACTTTTTTCTGACAACAAGAGTATCCATTCAGATTAAAAGTTGAAAGCAAAGAAGAGCTTTGAAAGCCCTTATATTTCAGCCATCCCTTAACTAATGAGGGGCTAGGAAACTTCCTGGAGGCCTGTGACCCTATAATTGCTTAGTGCAGCCTATTTATTCTGAAGCAGCTGATGCTAGTCATGGTCGGAGGCAGGCTATTGGGCTGGTGGTTTTTATATTGATACATTTTGGATGGACTGAGGGGGCAGTAGTGGAATACAGGGAGGCTAGAGCAGAAGAGGCTGCAGTAGTCAAGGCAGGGGTCAGCAACTTTTCAAACCAAAGAGCCAAACTACATCAAAATTCAGAACAAGTGGTCAGCACAGAGCCAGTATAAGAATGCCCATTTGCATGACTGAAAATATACAACTTAATATTATTGATAATTGACATGATGATTAATAAAAAATGAATAAAACATTGAACTCACAGACTTTATTTAATGGGACTTCTGCTGATGCATCTTTTCGCACATTTCTTTGACGTTTACATCATAACCAGTCAAATTCAGGTACATGCACGCATTCAAGCTACAGGAGTAATTTATGCATTTTAAAAATTTTGAATTTTTCATTTTAATTTAAAAAGTTGCATATATTTTGGAAATGACGAAAGAGTCATATTTGGTTCCAAACTGAGCCATATTTGGCTCAAAAACCATAGGATGCAGACCTCTGAGCCAAAGGAAAGGCAACTAATTCAGGCCTGGACCAGCAGCAATGAAGAAGAAATTGCTCTTTGTCATTTAAAGGTCGACTGAGAGAAAAGACCATGTGCCAGATGCTTCCCAGAAAGGTGGCTAATCTCCTTAATGAGAAAATGATGAAATAACATGTCCAAGGGAAAATGTCTTTCTACCCCAGCAGACAAAGCTTGCTTTTCTCCTGAGGCAAGGGAATTGTTACCCCTTATACATTTTATTTCAGACTAACTGGCTAGTCCTGACCCTATTAACACCTAATTTTAAAAAAAAATCCACTTTAGGGTGTTAGCCTAGCTCCATTGAAATCAATGGCACAACTTCCCTTTGGTTTCTAAGGTCCAAGATTCTCCCTTGATATTGACATCATCTTACAGCAATGAGTTCCACATATGCATTATGCTTCATATAAAACAACCGTTTCCTTTTATTGGCTTTAAAGCTGCTGTGTTTTCATTCCAATGCATGCCCCCCCTTTCCCTTGCATTCCACAAAAGGGTAAATGACATTCATTGACTGACCTTTTTATGCACTTAATTATTCCATATATTGCTATAATGTTACTTCTGATTCATGTCTTCTCTATACTGCAAGATTTTTCATCACTTCCCCTCATTCATGTCTTTGATCATTTTCAGTGCCACTCTTCCACTATAATCTTTTGTATGACAAGGTAATGAGAATCAAGCTTAGGATTCATATTAGGGAAGAAATACCATCAAGATATACAATGGCATCATAACAGCATTGCTATTATTTTCTGTCCTTATTCTTGAGCATTCTAGCAGTTCACTTTTCCAATCACCACTGTGCACAGGGAAAATTTTATATGAAGAAAAGGACTGCATGAGCAAACAGCCTCTCATGATATTTCTGCTTCTGGCAGCAGTCCAAATTCTGCGGTTCTTAACTGAGCAAAATTCCCATTGGCTTAGGGACCCTAGAATTTGGCCCATGATCAGGAAGTGCAATGGTGTGTGAAAATGAAAAAGGAAGGAAAAAAAGACTGCTGATGGTTTGGAGTCTCAGAAGAGATTCCAGTTTGGTCTGTGTTAAGAGAAAAAAAACCCTTGAGATGGTTCAGATTTTGTATGAATGAGTTTGCCTCCCTATACAACAGCTAATGTGCACTACACTGTGAGAATGTATATGCAACTGCATGTTATTCAAATTGATTTGCCTTCACCACAATGAGGATTTAGGTTTTACACGGCATCATGGCTTTTTGGTCAAACAACAGGAAAGATCAGAGCCCTAATTCTACTTCTTTCCAGAGAGAAATTTGCTAGTCGGCAGTGTTCATGCAGCAGTTTAAAACATGGGTCTTCTCCGAAATGAAACTGGAAAGCAGTATCTACACAGCACCCTTATCTCAAAATAAGCTATGCAACTTGCGCTACACAAATTGAGTAGTTTATTTCGAGGTTATTTTGAAATAAAGTGCTATTTTGACAAGTCCCTTAACTTCTGCAGAACAAGGGTTACAGGGACGCTGGTACAGCGCGCCCGCTATTTTGAAATAATGGACACGTGTAGGGTGCATCTACACTGCACCCTTAGCTCGAAATAAGCTTCGCAATTTGCACTACACAAATTGCGTAGCTTATTTTGAGGCAATTTCAAAATAGCTTATTTTGAAATTTGGTGCTGTCTATACAGCACCAAATTTTGAAATAAAGCACTGTTCTGAAATGCCTCTGAACCCTCGTGAAACAAGGTTTATAGGGATGTTGGAATAGTGAGCCTGTTATATTTCAAAATAATGGGAGCACTCAAAAGATGCGGAATAGCTATTTTGGGATACTTCTGATATCCTGAAGTAGTGCCACAGTGTAGACATAGCCTTAAAGATGTGGAATTGCTATTTTGGGATACTTCCGATATCCTGAAATAGCCCCGCTGTCTAGACATAGCTGGCAATCCATATTTGTTGCCTTTCAGTGACTCCTGATCAAATTTGCTTCTTTTACAAGGGAAAAGATGTTTTATTTAACTAGTGCCCTAAAAACTTACTCTGGTACATGAAAGCAAAACTGGGTGTTTTCTCTTCAGGAACACTTCAGCTATTATTTAATGCCACTATAAAGTTGGTCCATGTTACTGGGAATGTTGCACAGGCAGAAAAGAACTCAGCTTGACTTTCCCATTGTACAGTGTCATCCCAGCCGAGCTGATCTAGAAGTCATTGATTTATGAAGAACATAGTGCCATTTCACTGTAACTTTTCAAACTCGAATCACACTTCTCTTCTGCGAAGGCATTTAAGTGTTAGACTGATTGCAGTGGAGTCCTCTTTAGCATTATCCACAGAGTAAGTCCTGGGAAATGACAGTGTGAGCTGCAGGGACCACACTGATGGATGAGAGGGTGATTCCGGCCTCTGTTTACATTTTATTTGGATCCAATATTATGTACTTTTATAAGGCCAATGAAAAAAATCAGGCCTTTCAATAAGCCTCGCTATTTAAAATCTATATCAAATACATAATTATTTAAAAATCAGTTCTCTCTGCCATTGGGTATTTTTATTAAGATGGCATATACAGGGCAAGGATTTGGCTCCTCCCTCCTATGTTGGCCAATGCATATAAGCCAGCATATGAAAGGGAAAGTGATATGTTAGTGGTATGAACCATTCACTGCTTATAAAGAAGAGGAGAATTAAGAGGAAATCGGGACTCAGACTCATGTTGGCTCCTGTTAATCAATATTTGGAGGGTCTTATATTGCTTTGCTTCTGGAAAGGAAGTGGCCTATAAAATTCCTATTGACTTAACATGTAACATAGCAGTGGAAAATTCCGAGAAGCAAGTTGGCTGAGCTGGCCGGCCGGCAACAGGAAATCTTGCACTCAATTAGCTTGGTTTCCCTCCTCCGCAATAGGTGTAACATGCTCAAAGCCCTTGTATCTCTCCTGTATGTTCAAAAGAAAGGTTAGAGGGAATGACAAAGTCCTGGAAAGCCTGTGTCCATTGAACAGCTGTCAGATAGCCAGAAACAGCCTCCCCAAATGTGTATCGCGTTGGGTTTATTTATCTATCGTTGCTGACATTTTGGTCAATTGGGAAACAATAGTCTTGTTCCAATATACTGAACTGAATTACTAGAAACTAAGTCATGTGACAGCGAGGGTGTGTTTTGAATTATTCACTCTGTTTTTCTGCCAGGCCTATGAAGAAAAACAGCCTTCCGCAGGAGTCAGGTTTTTCTGCCTCTGTTGTAAGTTCCCTTTTTTTAATTTTATAATTATTACAGGCTTTTCAAAGTAAATCCAGGACTCCAAAATGTCTTTGCTTTTTACCAAAACAGACAGTAGTTCTGCCTCGTGGCTGGAAGTCCTAAACTTCTGTGATTGTTCAGTGTTTATGCACAGTAACAAAACTGATGCAGCTCATGGGATTTAAAATGGGATGCAAAAGTTCTTGCTGTTAGTAGTAAGTAACGTAAAGCCATTTTGTTCTTCCTAGTAAAGAATAGAGCTAACTTTTCCACTGTTTCATTAACAACAGAGGATTCCCATTCAGTCTGGGAACTACTCCAAATGATTTACGTTTCTAAATGCTTCATTTAATATCCAACCAAAAATGCGAACCAAATGGATGCTGCTCAGAAATTATGCATATTGTTTACAGAAGACTGACAGAGGGGTTTTTAACATAACCCTGGGGGCAGAGGGGAAACCCTTGAAAAAAGGAGGAACATTTGGTTTGAGTTACCAACCACAGACAGCTTCCATCAGGAGTGCTAGAGGTGCATGAATGGCAAGAGAATATGACAAGCAGCAAGCGCACCAAGGGAAAGACAAATGGTTTGGGGAACTTATTTTGAAATAATTGACCTTCCCCACAATATACTGAATTAAATTTGGTGGGAGATGGTGATGATTCATGAAGATCTTCTGGCACTCGTATTGCTGCTTTCTGTGTAAAACAGAGTTTCTGGAGAGCTTATAGAGTGTATTTTTGGTGCCTCCTACAGTTGTATCACTTATGCAGCACTGAGTCACTAGCTTTACAAACAACATTGCATTGGTAAAAGCTGGGAGCAGGGGCATGATCTAGTGCTTAGAGCAAGGGACTGGAAGTCGTCAGGACTCTGAGTTTTATCCTCAGTTCAGCTGCTGACCTGCTGCGTGATATTGGGTGAGTCTTGCAGGGTTCAATTTGCTCTTCGAGACCTAACAGAGCACCAGGGATGGAGGGGCTTGCAGCTGTACTGTCCATGCAGTGAAGAAGGGAGACATTATCTCTGATAATACGTGTGTGTGTGGGGGGGGGGGGGGGGAGAAGGTAGGGCTTATGCAACATGTCCTGCCCCTTTCAGTAAGTGTACTGCACACTTCCCCCAAGTCCCAGCTTTGTAGCTGAATCTGAGAGAGGCCCCTTCCAGGGCATTTCGCGTGATCCATGCTCAGCAGCTCTAGGGAGCAGGGGGATAGATGCTTGCTGTCTGGGTGTGCTGGAGCAAGGAAGGGGATTCTGCAGCCCATTGCATCCTTATTCCTGGTGGGCCCTCCTCCAGTGCACCACAGTTTGGCCATTAATCTTGCTATGCCTCAATGTACCCTCTTGTAGAAAGATGCTGTTTAATGAAATACTTCTGAGGGGAAGGTAAGGGTTAGTAAACATTTTTGAAAACACTGCAATCCTTCTACACTAGATGCTGCTTCCTTCTGAACACTCCTCCCCCACCCCCAGTGCAGAGCTGTTTAGATCTCAGGTCTACCTCCAATATTAGTATTGCTAATATACTGTAGGAATTCCTGGAAGAATTGATTCCATGTTGAAAGGGCAACCAATCTCCTCTGAAAGGCCTTGAATAGCTGGAGGTAAGTTGTGATGTATATTCCATGGATTCATTCTGAAACTGTAGCAGGCTAGAGACACTGCTTCCTAGGCAGAAGTAGCAGGGATGCACTAGGACCAGCTGCATCTGTACTTTAACAGGACCTGAGATTTCCATAGCCCTATCAATTGCACTGCTCATCCAAGCCCATTTTCTGTCCTTCACCTGTTCTAAAGGCCCTTTCTTGCATCCATTGATCCATGCATCCAAACACTGTCAAGTATACTGGGAAGATAAGTAGGGTGACCATATTTCCCAATGCCAAATACAGGACATGAGTAGGGTAGGGGGGCGGGAAGGCTGCCAGCACTTAGCAGGAGGTTGCTGGCACTTGGACCTTCAGCCCTACAGTGCAGGGAAGGAACCACCGGCACTCAGGGCTCCAGCGGTTGAAGCTCCAAAGGCCAGCGGCTCCCCACCCTCCCTCCTCCTCTGTGGGGAAGAAGTTCAGCCCTGCAGTATGCAGGGTGGGGAGAGGAGGAAAGTCGCTGGTGCTCGGGGCTTCAGCCTTTGAAGCTCTGACCACTGGTCACTTCTCTCCTCCCCCACCCCTGTGCAGAGGAAATATGAAACAATGTGCCCTTTTTTAAAAAAAAAGTTGGGGCACCGGGAGGAGGGCTTAAATAAAGGACTGTCCTGGTAAAAACGGGATGGATGGTCACCTTAATCATGAGCTTTTCCAGATTCATTTCTTAACATATTGAGGTCCTAATGGGGATTTGTATGTCAAAAATAGTAACTAGACTGATTCAACACCTGGGTTTGATATAAATTGTAATAGTGATGAAAAAGTCTTATTTAACCAAAATTCAACACAACAAAAACACCTCTCCCCTCACAAAATACATTATGTGATGATATGGATGGGAGTCAGTTAGCATTAATGAATGCAAATTATTCCATGTAAAAAGTGTAATACAAACTGCAGATGTGATACCTAATTAGATCAATTTGCTCAGTTTCTTGTTACTTGACTATGCATTAGGTTGGTAAAGTTATAACTAATGAGTACAAAGCACTTCAAATCTGCATACCTCCAACTGCTTTACAAAAAGAAGAGTCTGGTGAATATCATTAGCCTACTTTTACTGATGGGGAAACTGAGGCACATGGTGGTAACATGACCAACCAATGTCCTCCAGCAACTCTGCATCAGAGCTGAGAAGAGAACACAAGTTACCATTCAACCATGCTGCCTCCCCATGTCTGTTTATGCCTAACTACCCTCTTTTATTCTGACATACATAGACTAACTAAGTTCCACATCTTTTACTGTATGTGGGGGGTTTTAGGCAGGAAAGCATGCCATTAAAAACAAAAGAAAACAATTGCATATGTACTTAACTTTACTAAGTGTTTGGGACTTTTGCACATGCTTAAGTACTTTCCTAAATCAAAGCTTTTTTGTTGTTGTTGTCATATGTTGTAAAAGTCGCTGCTTATCCTGGAGTTTTTTCCTTTTTGCTTAAAACAAAAACAAAAACAAACAAGCACATAAGCAAACAGACACACAAGCAAACATACAAACCAGAACTGTGAATTTTTTCACAGTAAGGATATTTTCAAAATCCATTTTGGCAGAACAGAAATGAAATTTTTCCAAGATTTCAAGGTCCAGCTCTTCAAGCTCCTTGATAGCTCAGCTCCTTCTCTATGAATAACTCTGGTACCTCCCTCTGCCTGGCTTCTAGTTTCCCCAAGCAGATGCGAACTGAAATGATCATAGTTCTTGTCAATTTCATTTAGCTCCTGGCTCTGACTAGCAGCACTGAAACTGACCAGACCCCTCTCAGCTGATTGTTTTTGACAAAACTATGCACAATCAGAAGGAATCAGCACTGGTATTATTCAAGACAAGGATTCTGTTCAACAAAAAATGGAAACTAGGGGAGGTATAGCATTGCGTGATTACAGAACCAGGAGGTACAGCTGTGCATTATGATTAGATGTTGAAAGATTTCTTTAAAAGTGAAACTGGAGAGCTTGGTCTCTGTGCCATCCCACCAGGAGGACTGGGCAGAAGAGCTGGCAAGAAACCAGGCAGGTTTCCATGTTTCCACAAAACATTTTAATGAGAATTGCCTTTTTTTTTTTAAACAGAAGAATGTTCCTTTGGGGACTCTCTAACTAGCTCTAGCACTAAATTGTGCAAAATAGAAAATAAATTATCCTAAAGTCTTGTAAGAGTATCATGTATCAAAAAGCCTGTGCTTCTTCAAAGTACCATACACATTAGCATACGTCTCAGGGACGGATCAAGGGACCTCTTTGCATCTCATGGAAAGGCTATGCGCACTGTTTGTTTTTCTTCTCCAAAATTAAACAAATTTTGATGCAGACTGGATCTTGTACGCCTCTAGCAGCTCCATATTTCCCATAAGATAGCTGTTTTGCTCATGCCCTCTACTAGACATCATTCATTTTTCCTTCTTTTCCTCAGTGTTTTGTTTGGTTTCTATGGGTATTTGTGTGAAGGATAGAGGAGAGGAATGTGACCCTGAGGCTGTCGTTAGGGTTTTATTATACAGTGGAGCTAATTTGGAGTAAAATCCACAAACCTATATTTTCAAGTATCTGGACTCTTTTTTCTAGCTGAAATTTGCCTGTGCAAAATTTGCACCCACATTTACATCTCCCCAACAGAGTTGTGGATAAAAGTATTAGATGTAACAGATTGGTCCACCTGACTGCAGGGAGGAATCAGAACAAAAGGAAGATAAACAGGAGGGAAAAACCCTGAGTGATTGCATCATTTATTATTAGAACTGGCCAGAAAACCAGATTTCTGTTCTGCAGGAAATTCCAATATTTCAAAATTCACTTTAATTCAGAATTGGAATGAAAAGTCAATTCTTTTTTGTGAAATGGGAAATTCAAAAAAAAATGAGGATCAGCAATATTTTAAGTTAATAATATAAAATCATTTTGTTTGGTAAGGTAAAAACAATTCATTTAGATAATGTCAAAACATTATAATATATAACAATAAATAAATAATTGTAAATATACTATGCTTAAGCTGAAATAAAACATGTCAATTGAAATGAGAAAGTCAGAAGGATTCATTTAGATATTTTTCCTACAAAAATTGACATGCTTCTCAAAAATGTTTTAATTTCAACTAGCCTGAGTTTTCTGATGGAAAACTGTGATGCTGAAAATTTATCGACCATTTTTTTCCTTATTTTTCTAACTTGCTTATTACTTTACTCAATATTCATTTTATAAAGTGCTAATTTTTATGTCTTATTACTACTGTATGGCATTTCTCCTCTGTTTTATTTTGATTTAGAATGCAGAAACAAACAGTGGAACACATAATTGAATTAATGGGTGATTTTTGCATTAATACACTGTAGCTGTGTTCCTTTATGAGGTTCAGTCCTTAATCAAGTATTCACATCTAAACGGCATCGATAGATCTCCCTTTTGCAATTAAACACAGAGTCTTTTAAGTGGGCTTAGCTGTCTAAAGGTTTGTGTTTCACTCCAGCCTGACATTCCTTCCTTATTCATGGCCAAGATCTACTTTTTCTAAACCACTTACAAATCAGATGTGCCAGGCACAGAACTTAAACGCAACAGTTTGATTAATCCTATTTGGAATATAATGCTTTCGTAAACCAGGCCCCAAGCACAGCCTCTTCTCCTGCATGGGCTTGAAGGACAGAATAGTGCTTTTATGTATCTTCTTTTCAATTTGGGATTTCATCCTGCAAATTCAGCAGAAACCAGGAAGAAGCAGCACAATGGAAGCATCAAAACCATTTGTGAAAAGCACTCCTCTGTGCTTGGAGAGCATGGGAAGAGAATGAAAAGGTGAAGGAGATTTTAGTACAGCACTTCACAGAAATAAACATTGCAAGTCATAAGATATCACATGGTTGTTAGTGAACTGAGAGGCTCTGTTGACTTGGTTTGTTCATTGCAACTTTTCAGTAGGGCAGATTATTGGGAGGGGAAATAGGATGGGGCAAACTATAACTCACTGTTTATATTTCTCTTCCTGGAGGACATTTAGCCATTGAGGAGTAGTGAAAGTTGTTGGCACTGTCATGCCACATAAATGGGAATATGAGAGGAAAAAACTGAAGATGGATCGACAGAGCAGCATTGGGAGCAGGAAATCAAAGAAGTTTCGCTCCATTTCAAGATCACTCCTACTTTGTAATGCCAGGAATACTGATGATGGGTCAAGTCCAGATGAGAAATGCCCTGATCCCTTTGAGATTTCTGCCAACTGGGATCGAAAGGAAATTGACAGTTGCCCTAGACTACAAGCACCATGCACTTCAGAACCAGAAGACAGCACTCCTTATCCTCTTGCGATCAATAAGGCGCTGCAGCCCAAAGCTGATGCGACGGAGAGCTGCAAGAATATGAAAAGAAAGTTCTTCATCAAGGTAGGCAGTTCACTGATTATTGTTTTATTTTATGTTTCAAACGTTTCATAGATGAATCTTTCTCAGGGTACAGAAAACTGATTCTAAAAGGTGCCATGAGCCAGCAGCGTTCCAACGCCATATAAATAGCACAGAAAATGTATCACACTCACTCTTGGATTGCAGTGTCTCTCTCTAACTTACATGCCAGTGAAGTCAGTGGAATATTAAATCCATTCTCAAGCATTCAGCAACACAGCACGGTGCATTCTACCTGGAATATAGCCGACCAGCTGTCACAATAAAAAGCTGTCTTTACAGTACAGATCATTTTAAAAATGCTGATCTTGTCAGATCTTATAAGCTAAGTGAGGTGCAGCTGACTTAGTCTGTGGGAAACTCAGGTGATTCAGTAGGCAGACGATCTGTTTAAGTTTGATGGGTGCTGGAGATTGATGGGTGAGTGTAGAGATGCCACATTCTTAACAGATATGAAAGTGAGACGGTAGGAACCTCTGGTCACTAAAAAAATCAATTCTGCAAGGAAGTAACTCCTCCATTATGGCCATTTTCCAGATTGACTGACTACATTCTGAATACCTATGATAAGTTTCACCTACAATTTCAGCTGGATGCTGCCTATTTCATCACTTTCTGCCCTCCGGTGGTGTATATTGTTGCTCTGTGCTGTTAGGCAGCTATACTGTTTCATCCCAGAGGTGGCTGCCACAGGAGTAAGTGAAGCAGCTGCTAACACACAGTCCATAGTCTGCCCACTCACCTAGTAAAGACTAAAGCATGTTGAGAGCCCTCTTGGTGGCAGGAACTATATCAACATTACCTCGGTAATTTACAGCTTGTCCTCTCCGGGGCATCCTAATGCCTATTATATCATGTGCATTTTAGTGATATAAATATTGACCTGCATGAGGGAACTGATTCCTCTGTATGAGCAATCAGCTCAAATCAAAACTTCACATCCAAACACCAACTAATATTTATGACGTTCAAACGCTGGATCCAAATCTACACCATGCTGTGTAAGTTTCTCTCTAATGCTCTCAGCACATGGCCCAAATTTGAAAGAAAAGGATTCAGGAAAATATAGTGCACAACGTTTCAGTCTCAAAATGAAGCCACGCCCCTCCCCCACCCGCCGGCAAGGAAAAATATGACTTACATCGAGCTAGCCCCAAAAGATACCCAATCACTATGGAGCTCTACAAAACCACACCCTTCCTCGAGCATGGAAACATTCCACATTCTGGCTGGTGAGCTCATTGTGCAAAGGAAAGGAGGCTGCTGGACTCTGCCAGCCACAGAATACTTCTCTATATTCCTTGCACAGTGCACTCCCATGTGCGGCTTGGTAGCGGTTGCAGGCTTGTCCATCCGCAAACCCAAAGCACCTGGAGTTCTAATAACTACCACCAAGTTACCAGCATTTCATTTCTTGCTATTTTACCAAAGACAGTTGAGGCCGGGAGTGGGCAATAAGCCAGAGGTAGTTTGCTACAGTTAGTCCCTGGCACTTTATTTACCTGTGTGTCCACAGTTACAGCCTCTTGCAGCATCCATTGGCCATGGATCACCATTACCAGCCAATGGGAGCTGCAAGTGGCTGTAACCGCGGACATGCTACAGATTAAAACTCTCTAAACAGGGACTCTCTGGTCTGGCAACATCCATGCTTTGGCACAGCATGTATGTTGCAGGACTAGAGAGTCCTGGTGGAGGGCCAGCAGTACGAAGCCCTGCAGAGCTGGCAGGGAAGCGGGCTGCCAGCAGGTCTGCATGGCAGCGGGGCTGAGAGACCCAGCACAGAGCTGCGAGTCACAGCCGTGGCAGTGTGCAGTCGTGGTGATGTCATCAAGTCTTCATTTCTGCTTCTGTGAGGGCAGAGATACTGGCATCATGAACCTTGATGTCCCCTCTCTGAGTCTCTGCAACATGCAATGAAGTGACAGGTACATCCCCTCTGTGTTGCATGGGTCTGACACAACAGGCTCCCTCACGCAGAATGCATTAGAGAGCACTTGAGTCCTCTCTTAAAGCCTCTCCCCTCAAATATCCAGAAGAGAAGAGCCTGTGCCTTTGTTCAGGTTCTAGTGCATCAGGATCTTGGCTCCTCTTTCTAATAGCTGCAGAAACTCACCGGTCGATGCAAGGCCCAGTCTCACTTCAAGGAATCAGAATAGATTTTTCTGTGACGTTTCTGTGGCACACATCTGAGCCAGACAATTGCCTTAGTAGTCTGTTGCTTTTTTGCCTTGCAGTATCTGCAGCCCCGTGTCTGGTGCCCATGATGCTGTCAGGGCGAACACGCGCCACAAAGAGCTACACGGGGAGGGAAGAGAATTTTTAGAAAATGCTAACTGACTTACTGTCCATTGCACACGCATGCACCCGATGCGGATGGGAATCCAGAGCACTGAACTCCCAAAGAGCAGGTCCTCCCAGCAGAGGACGAATTCATTTTTCCTGTGTGAGCCTTGCCCTGCTAACTACATGGCTACATCTAGACTGGCATGATTTTCCGGAAATGCTTTTAACGGAAAAGTTTTCCGTTAAAGGCATTTTCGGAACAGAGCATCTAGATTGGCACGGACACTTTTCCACAAAAGCACTTTTTGCGGAAAAGCGTCCATGGCCAATATAGACGCTTTTGCTCAAAAAAGTCCCAATCGCCATTTTCGCGATCGGGGCTTTTTTGCGGAAAACAAATCTCAGCTGTCTACATTGGCCCTTTTGCGCAAAAGTTTTGCGCAAAAGGGACTTTTGCCTGAACGGGAGCAGCATAGTATTTCCGTAAGAAGCAATGATTTCTTACAGTAGGAAGTCAGTGCTTTTGTGGAAATTCAAGCGGCCAGTGTAGACAGCTGGCAAGTTTTTCCGGAAAAACTGGCCAGTCTAGACACAGCCCATATGATTCATGAGCATTCACACAGTGATTAAATTCATGGTGTTTCCATTGTCACTTTATTTCAAGCAACCAGTGTCAGGTACATATCCTTATTGCAAATATATGGCAAGTTGTGTGTGTTGACACCATCCATATCGTAGGAGATGCTGTGATCGGAGTACAGCGACCATTTATATTACATAGAAATAATTCTCATAACCAGTGACAGTAACAAGAATAATTGAAGTAAAGTTTGTACCTCCCTGGTCCGGCATGAGCAGTCCCAAACAAGGGCATTTGCCAGATCAGGAGACATCAGGCCTGGGGCCTGTGCCTCCCCTGGCTGGCTAGTGGGGCTACAATCCAGGTCCCAAGCCCCACTCTGGCCAGCAGAGCTCCCTGCCCCCAGCTGGTGGATCTCCGCTTCCCATCAGCGGGACTTCCTACCCCTGGCAGCCCTCCCACTGTAGCTGGCGGAGCTCAGTTTCCAGCCAGTGCTGCTCCCTGCCACCAGTCCCACTCCAGCCAGTGGAGCTCAGCTCCTGGCCAATAGGCTTTCCTGTCCTCATCCCTGCCCTGGCCGGCGGGGTCACAGCTGGCCCGCTGCAGCCAGTTGGGTTCTACACCCCCAATTCCTGGCCCCTCTTCAGCTGCTGGCCCACTGGCCAGGCTCCGTACCCCCAGGCCACTGGCCCTGCAGGCTGCCTGCTGGCTAAGCTCTCTGCTGCTGGCAACTGCTGTGGCTGGGGCTTTCTGGTCCAACAACATCCATGGTCCTGCCATACCATGGATGTTGCCAGACCACAGAGTCCTGGACCCCAGAGGTTCAACCTGTAGTACAAGGATCTTTGTCATTTGTAAAAACAGAGCGGTTGTACACTGAGGCAACACTTCTGATCCCTGGAAGACCTGGCGGCTGCATCTAGACTGGCAAGTTTTTCCGCAAAAGCAGCTGCTTTTGTGAAAAAACTTGCCAGCTGTCTACACTGGCCACTTGAATTTCCGCAAGAACACTCACGATCTCATGTAAGATTGTCAGTGTTCTTGAGGAAATACTATGCTGCTCCCATTCGGGCAAAAGCCCTCTTGCGCAAATGCTTTTGCACAAGAGGGCCAGTGTAGACAACACGGTATTGTTTTGCGCAAAAAAGCCCCAATGGCGAAAATGGCAATCAGGGCTTTCTTGCGCAAAACCACGTCTAGATTGGCATGGACGCTTTTCTGCAAAAAGTGCTTTTGCGGAAAAGCGTCTGTGCCAATCTAGACGCTCTTTTCCGCAAATGCTTTTAACGGAAAAACTTTTCTGTTAAAAGCATTTGTGGAAAATCATGCCAGTCTAGACATAGCCAGCTTGTTTTGTTTGTTCTGCTCTGGAGGGCAACACTAACAACTTGCTAACACACTAAGGCTATATCTACACTGAACTCTAAACTCGAAATAAGATATGCAATTTGCACTATGCAGATTGCGTACTTATTTCGAGTTTATTTCAAAATAGTCCATTTCTAAATTTGGTGCTGTCTACACAGCACCACATTTTGAAATAAAGTGCTATTTCAAGACATCCCTTAACCTTCGTGGAATGAGGGTTACCGAGATGCCAAACAGAGCACCCGTTACTTCGAAAAATATTTTTAAATAACAGATGGCTTGTGAAGACGTGTGTTAGCTATTTCGGGATACCTCTGGTATCCTGAAATAACGCTGATGTGTAGACATATCCTAAGGCTATGCGGAGCTCATCTAGACTACATTAAAGTGTGGAAAGAGGACACTTTGCATATCGGAATTTGCATATATTATTCCGATCTCACTTTTGAAAGCAGAGCTTTCGAAACTAAAAGTAGATTAGACAAAGCTTTTTCGGCGAACCCCCCCTTTGTTGAAAAGCCATGTAAATCTCATTTTTTGAGGAAAAGTGGCTTTTTGACAAAGGGGGAGGGTTGCAAAAAAAGTCGCGTCTAAACTACTTTCACTTTTGTAAGCGCCACAGAATTTGCATATCCTCTTTCGAATCTTCCCCGTAGTCTAGACGAGCCCTAAGAGTCAGATTCATAGGACTGGAAGGGATCTCGAGAGGTCATCTATCCCAGAGGTGCGCAACCCATGGGTCGCGACC